CAGCAAGCCGATGCATGGTAGGTGAAGGGAAATGTATGTCTTTTAGGTCTGTCATTTTGTTTTCCCCCCACTCCATTTTATATTTTGTACTAACATGTTGATTAATTGTTTTGTATTATACCCAGAATGAGTTAATGAAAATATGCTTTGTCAGTTATGTGTTACAGAACTGTACTCACAATATTCTTCTATTTCTTATCTTAGCTTAGCCTTGGTAGAGACGGAGATAGTATCCAATTATTTCTTTGTACTAACAACACCTGTTTCTGTTATGATATAATTAAAAGTCAAATACTTCTGTCCCATGGGAAAATAACTGTTGGAAACTTGTAACTGATTTCAAAGCCTGAGAAAAATCATGTTCATAGCCTTGACAAGTATCTTGCGAGATTCTATTGTATATAGTAGATAAGTGTTTTAAAACAATGTAGAAACTTTCCTTATTCTGGGAAAGTGAAACCTTGCTTCCCATCATTTTTCAGAATTGACATCAATGTTTGTCTTATTTGTATTCAGCCAATCAATTACTGACAACTCAGCTTTTTGATACTCTGTGCCTCCCACCTTTCTTTTTTCTGTTATATTCATTTTCTTCCCGCTAATAAACTTGAGAGATTGATTTCACCTATCACTGTGTGTATGTGTCTGTTGCTTCTGAGATGAAGTCAAGTCCTCCAGACGCGTCCATATCTTCAACAGACTGATAAAGGCAGATAGCCAGGGGCTATCGACAACCTTTCAGTAGGATTCAAAGCTTCCTGGATGCCACATGGTCTACAGAAGTGATGTAAGCAGTGAAAAGTGAAATTCTGCTGGAACTTAGCCTTTAATGATTTTTGCGGATGATTCGGAGACAGTTTTGTGCATGCACATAAATTAGGCCAGCAATTCTGCATTTTCCCAAACATTGATACAAGTCCATATGGAGATGAGGACACTGGATGAAAGCACCACATTTTTGGAGAGCGATTGCTATAGGGTGCTGAAAAACAGGTGGATGGTAAAATGCTTCAAGGTCTTTGCAGATGGCTGTGTGATATCTCGTGATCTTCCAGGCATATAAACATTAAATTAACCCCCACTTTTCAGTGTTATAGCACTGCTTTTAAAAATGAAATGGATTGCATATTATAGCCATATTATAGCCTAGATGTATGCTCTGTCATGGATAAATATTGAACTGAATGCTTCTTCTGTCACACAAAAAAATTACAAAAATAAAGACATCTAATGTAGATGATTAACTTCAACTAATTAAACACCATTTTATTTTTGCTGAGCTATTATTTTTGGAGTCTAAATGTTTTTTTTCGTTTTGCATTTGTTCCTTGGGTGAACCATTTATTGGCCCCTGATTCTCAAAATAGCACCAGTTAATCAGCAGGGATTTTCTGTGCTAGAAAATAGTAATGGTTTTCAATAGACTAATAAATCAGTCAGTTACTCTTATTATTATTGTGTCAGAATCCATGCATGTAGGTTCCTCTTCAACATTACATAAACTTCTTCATTACGCCAAAAAAGTTAGTGATAGATGTTAAATAAAAGGATAGTGCTGGCTTCTACTAATTTTAAACACTAGTTTAATCAAGTGATGTTCTGATGACTGGAGTGTCATGCAAAATTGCTGTATCCTGTTTTACCATTTACCTTAGCTGGACTTTTCTACTTGCTCTTACTGTACTCTTACTTACTCATACTGTCTCCAAATATGTCCTCTCCGCTCCTCCCACGACCTCCTGCTCTCTAGCTCCCTTGTCTCCTCCTCCCATGCTCGTCTCCAGAGCCTCCCCCATCCTCTGGAACTCTCTACCCCCAATCTATCTGAATATCTCTTCAGGGAAGCCTATCCGGCCTTCAGCTAATAACAAAATCTTCTATTTCTCCTATCAGTTTATTCCCCACAGTAACTACCTTTTGTACCACCAGCCCCTCCCTCTTAGATTGTAAACTCCAAGGAGCAGGGCCCTCCTAACCTTCTTGTATTGAACTGTATCATTGCTGTATTGTCTCCCGTTATATTGTAAAGCACTGAGCTACTGTTGGCACTATATAAATCCTGGATAATAATAATAATAAATTCATTTAGGGCTGAAAGTAGATCTAAAGGGAAAAACTTTTTTTTTTTATTTCAAATAAAGTAAGGGAGGGTTTCAACCCCTGTAAGGTTTATGTTTGCCATCTTTGTCCCATTGAGGAGATTTACCTTCACGTTCTATCCTACAGCCAAACAGGAAGTGAGAGAAAAATCCCTGAAAATTAAGGGAATTTCATGGGGACTTCTAGGTACAAATGTCTCCAATGGAAGATTTATCCTCTATTACCATTCTTGGGACAACCCAAAATGTGTGACTTTTTTTTTTTTCTTTATTGTCACTTTCAACAATAATTGTAAACAGTGTTCTAATCCCTCTCCACTCTGTCCAAAACTAGAAAAAAAAACTTTTGCCTTTAGTAATACTGGAACAACAGCAAGAAGGAATACAGTATTATTATAAATGTGGTTTAAATTGTGTACAAATGCTGTCCATTTATTTAAAAAAGTTCATATTTATACTTGTAGGTAGTGCTGGGACAAGGTCATCCAGTAAACATAAAAATTGCTGCACTGCCTCTCTCAAAAACTACTATAAATAAATAAGTAAATAAACAAATAAATAAATAAACTCCCTGCTATACAAATGTTCATGTGCTATAATGCCCATCCAGTGCCCAGGGTGAAAATGGCAAACTGCTCCTGGGTGAAAAAGGGGATAGGGCTAGTTGTAATGTAATGTTTGTGATGTATGTGACATGCACTGAAATAGTAGCAATAGCTATAGTACACCACAGTGAAACAAAGAGTTTAACATCAGTGCACAAACACAGTTTGGGGCTAACAGTGGCAAATACAAAACATCCCTGTGTCTGTGGTGTCACCGAAAGGAAAAAATGTTCCTGCATCTGTGGTTTTGCCAAATGGAAAAAAAAGTCCCTGTGTTGGTGGTGTCACTGAGAATATAAACAAAATGCCACTGTATTGGTGTAGTCATTGAAAGAAAAAAAATATGGCCCTGTGTTGGTGGTGTCACTGAAAATAAAAAATGCCACTGTGTTGGTGCTGTCAGTCTGAGGAGGACTAATTGGTATCTGTGTCAGTGGGATGTAGGAGGGGAGGAGAGCTGGGCTCTGTGGGATGCATGGAACTAAAGTGCTCTAGGGGGTGTTTCTGAAACGCATGGCAAAATGTGCATTTTCTGTGCAGATTGCCTTGCATTAGGAAACACACAGATGTGAATGGAGCCTCATTGTTCTGTGTAAATGCACCAATTTCACTTTTAGGCCCCATTCCCACCGAGAGTAGAGGGAGTGCATGTTTTTGGGCTCATTTTTCCAGTGACAAACATAGGGCAGCCTGTTGATTGCAATAGGCTGTGCTACACATGGCAAAGGCTCATGGGACATTTTGGCTTGGTGCACATTTTTCTGCATTTGTCACCCGTTTTTTCATGTGCAAAACGTGTGCTTGTTTCTTGTTCGGTGTGCCATTAACAATTATTGCACTGAAAGCACAACTAGGTAATTTTAGGTGTATAAAAGTGGCCATATACTATACAATCTGATTGTACAATCTCTGTACGATTTCCTTCAGATTTACCAAAACTATATAATAGGAGGACACAGCATCTATCCAATTACCCGGCCTGAACCCGTCTATAAAGATACTGGGGTTGCCAGGCAAATGCACCTGGGGAGAGCCTGTTAATTGCAATAGAATTTATATGCAGCTCCTGTTATTTTAGATATACAGTATGCATTTTCTGTTTTTCTAGTTAACCATGTCCCTTTTGGTCTGGGATTCTATAGCTAGTTTTAGTTTGAAGCTCCATAACCTGCATGGGCTAGGGAAGGTTTGCTTTCTGGTGGAAACGTCAGGGTCATAGGCTTAGAAGTCTGAATGCATGTCAGATTAGAAACTATTACTATAGAGCAGCCTTTCTCAACCAGGGTGCCCTGAGGTTTCTTCAGGGGTGCCTTGGCAAAATGTCTAAAAATTGCCCGTATACAAGCCAGCGGGTGGAACAAGCCTGCCTTTTAGTTACACAAAGTCACAGGTTTTCATTGTGCACCATTACGACCTTCTAGCCACCAGCGTCCTGACAACCAATGGCATCATCAGTTGATAAGGAGGACGTTGGTCATCTGCACAGCATTGTTTGACCCTCGCCTGCCCCTCTCCATCAGTGCTGGGGGTCACATTAGCTCAGCGATGGAGAAAAACATAGGGAGAAGAGAAACACTGGAATACTAGTCAGTACCAGTGTGCAAAAGTGTATTTGCTTTGGAAGAATAAATCACCTCTAATGTTGGGTGCCCTACCTGTGTGGATGTTGCTGCGTTATATAAACTATTAGAATAGTTTTTCACATTTTAGAATGGAGTACCTCAAGACACTCCATAATTTTAAAGGGTGCTTTGGGACTCTCTATAATTATAAAGGGTGCCTTGACTGAAAAAAGGTTGAGAAACACTGCTATAGACTAAAGCACAGAGTAGATAGATGACTCTGAGTTCCAGTGCCAGAGTTCCAGTGCCACAGTTCATCACAGTTTCTGCCAGTGAGAAAGCTGGTTGGAGAACAGTTGGAGGATTCCCCCATGACCACTGATCTTATCTTCCGGTCTCTGACACAAAGATACACCACATCATCCTCTGGGGACCCTAAAAAATGGACTTTGCTGCAACATTCATTTGGAGGTATCTCTAATAATACCCATATATACCTGGCTATATGTGCACAATTCTGCCAGGACTTCTATTGGCCCCTTGTACTGATAATATCTCTTTGTACATTGGATGTGTGAGATGGGGAAACAGCTCTCATTGTTTAAACACTGTTTGTGTGGAAGTAAATTAATGTGTGGAGAAATTAAATGTTTTGAGTGACATTCTGCAGTTTAGCCACAAGATGTCACTGTTTTTCTAACACAGCCTCAGACTGCATAGATATTTGTATATTCATGAAGAGGTGGGGTTTTCAGGCAGAGTGGAGAGAGAACAGGAAGGAGAGGGAGAAGCCATGTTTTGGAGCATGGTGAATAAGGGGCCCTGTGAGCTGAGAATCTGATGACATCCAGGTGTGAGAGCACCCTCCGTAACCAGAGCTGCAGCAAAGTGAAGCTGATGAGATTGCTGCCAGGAATGCTGATGAGATTGCTGCCAGGGAGGCTGATGAGAGCAGAGGAACTAAGCAACATATACGGCAAGACCGCATGCTTGTTGGAGAGACATTTGTTCTGTTCAAAGTCACTAGCGGATACAAAGCAGACCCGGGTCAGTAAGATTGTGCACGCACCTCATTTCAGGCCTTGAGACTGAGTCCAGGCCTATAGTTAGTTAGTTAGGGTCTCTGTTTGTGTCAGGCCACAAGTGTTGTTACTGATTATTGGAAGGACTCCACAACTAAAGTGACATTTCACATTGGAGAGCTGATAAAATCCTACAAACTCAAGCCAGACTGGCGTTTTGGGAGGGGGAATACTGTAGAGTTGTGTAAGATTGTAAGCTGTTGTGCTGCACTGCAGGCTAGCCCATACCGTACACCCACACACTGATTCCTGCTCTTTTAGGGTAATAACAGGTAAGGTGTGGCCGCTTATTTGTGCCCGCCAGTAGGTAAATTACTACACTTTCTACCTTCATCCATCAGAAGGCGCCGTGCTGTGCAGCACAAGGGTCTCAGCCTTTGGGCTGGGTGTATGTAAATATATTGTATGTTTCCAGCATTTGTGGTTTTGTTTATTTTTGCCACATCTACCGTATTTTCCGGCGTATAAGACGACTGGGCATATAAGACGACCCCCCTACTTTTCCTGTTAAAATGTAGTGTTTGGGCTATACTCGCCGTATAAGACTACCCCTCTTCCAATGCACACCAGTGGGAAGAATCGTGCCCCATCATTAGTATCAGTGGGAGAATAGTGCCCAGTCATTGTGTCAGTGGGAGGAATAGCACCCCATCATTGGTGTCAGTGGGAGGAATAGCACCCCATCATTGGTGTCAGTGGGAGGAATAGTGTCCCAGGTGTCATGGGAGGAATAGCACCCCATTATTGGTGTCAGTGGGAGGAATAGCACCCCATCATTGGCGTCAGTGGGAGGAATAGTGCCCCATCATTGGTGTCAGTGTGAGGAATCGTGCCCCATCATTGGTGTCAGTGGGAGGAATAGTGTCCCATCAGTGGTGTCAGTGGGGGGTGGAATAGTGCCCCATCATTGGTGTCAGTGGGGGGGGGAATAGTGACCCATCGTTGTGTCAGTGGGGGGGGGAATAGTGACCCATCGTTGGTGTCAGTGGGGGGGAGGAAAAGTGCCCCATCGTCGGTGTCAGTGGGAGGAATAATGCCCCATCATTGGTATCAGTGACACCAATGATGGGGCACTATTCCTCCCACTGACACTTGCTGACCCCTGTTCAGTATGGTGCTGCTGCAGCAAGCATATATGGTTGCAGCAGCACCTGTGCACGGCACACTTACCTTCACTTGATTTTCGCGGGGCCGCTCGGCTCCGCCTCCTCCCCGGTGATTGGCCGCCTGTGTGCCTTTCCTGAGCTACAGTTCAATCACCGTGAGGAGACGGAGCCGAGCAGCCGCACAAATATCCAGTGGCCCCTGAAGGAAGGAGCAGCTGCACTTCCTGGACCGGATCGTCGTGGGATCGGAGCCAGGTAAGAAACAGAAGCCCCTGCCCACCCCTGTACTTAGTTTCACTTCTGTTGGAAGGGGGGGAGGCCGGCGGTACCGCACCGCCCCCCTAAAAAGTGTCAGCATGCCGTATACGGTATAAGACGACCCCCGACTTTTGAGAAGATTTTCAAGGGTCAAAAAGTCGTCTTATACGCCGGAAAATACGGTAAGTAAAATCCTGTTGTGGCAAAAGCTGGTGTTGGGGTTGCTTTCCTCGTTCGTGACTGCACTGTATCCTGGGGAGCCCCCCCGGTACACGGCTTACAATACCAGACTAGATCTGCAGTAGATGGCCCCTCAGTTAGCTCTAGTAAAATCTGGGTCTCAGCATTAAGACTCCCAGGTCACCCACCTGAGGCCAAGGCAGTAGATGCACCCCGGGGAGGGCAACATCGCTTGGTCCTATACAGGAAAAGACCCAGAACTCAGTGTGCTCACTGGGGGAGCCTCTCTCTCTGGGAATAGGTCGACCCATCTGTGTGTCAGTATTCAGGAAAAGTGCCCCATCTCGCATGTGCAGCTCCATAATGCCCGCGTAGCACCCCCTGCTATAAGACATCAATTGGCTTTCAGCAGAGGGAGCTATCAGAACAGCTGAACTCACTGTAACCTAACTGCAGAACACAGCAGCACTGATTACATGTGCAAGTTATGCTTTTACCTTACAATAATAAGTAAAACCACGCTGTCTACAGTGTGCCAACTTTTTACCTATTCAACACAACTTTATCTTATCTATCTAAACTTAGCAAGGAGGATGCTACACTATTAACTGAAACAAATACAGTCACCATATCGAAGGACTGGTAAGCTGCATATATATCACATATTCACCTTTACAAAAAACTGCCACAGATAAGGCGTGTTTACATAAAAACAAACTGTGCAGCTTGGTACTAAAGTTGAATAGTGCTTTTGCTATGGGTGTAGGCCATTTATATACCTCCCAAAGCCTAACTGGAATACTCCCAGGACGTTGCTAGTACATTGCTAAGTGAGGCCTAGTCATTACTGCTCACCTCCATCATCACTGGAGTGAGCTTTTTCTCTGATTCAAACCTTCTCACATGCTCTTTCTCACCCCTGATGCAGTAGCTCTGATCTCAGCAGTTGAGAGTTCTCTCCTGTGATGGAGGTAGTGAACAGTAAGTACTAGACCTCACTTAGCAACATCCTTAACGTCCTGGGAGTATTCTACTCAGGCTTCAGGAGGCACGTAAATGCCCTACGCATATAGCAAGGGCATTATTCAACTTTACTGAAGAGCTGCCTCATATCTACAAGGTAAAGGTGAACTAATCCTTTAACGCTCTTTATTTTAAGTACGTTGTGGTTGAAATTGTTTAAATTACACAAAACAATTAAAATTTAGCTCCTCATTTAAAGCCTACGTTTTCTTTATAAAAAATTATATAGATAATGAGTACAAGGGACATTACTTACTTTCAGTCAGATGTGTCTCTTGTGTCCGTGTCCTCATTTAGCAGACATATTTGAAAAAGTTGAAAAATGTGAAAAAAGGTTTAGGTCAGATGCCATGAACAAAAAGTATTATTCATGAAAAAGAAAACCATTCCTTTTTTTTGGTGATCTCTACAGTTTGAAGCATGGTTCTGCATATAAAGGAGACTCCAATAACATATCCTAGCAGTATATTTTACTACAAGGAATGGAACTAGCACTAAAAAGTATCATTATTCAGGTGTGCCTAGGACAGAATAATGTCTGAATTGGATTTTACCCCCCCCCCCCTCCGTTCCATGGCTATAATGGTTTGTGCCATAGTGTGGTGGTGTAAATTTGCCCCCGTCATGTTTGGCTGAATGTGAATGGTGCTGCACCACACCCACAAGCCAAGCGCTAGGCTTGTGGTCATGTAAGCATACCCTAAATATGGCCCTTTACTGAGGCTTTTCCTCTGAACAGCATAAATAGCTGGTCAGATGGAGAATCTATTTCAAACTAGGGAATAGTCAGGAGTGATACCTGTAGATAAAAGAAGAGCAAGGCAGCAGAGAGAAATCATACTCTGTGCTTCGGATAGACGCAAGTATACAGTATAGAAGGATATGTTTTGTTCATATTTCATGTCTGAGGTTTACACCCACTTTAAAGCAGTATTAAACCAAAAAGCAAACATTTATTATATTTGCAGCTAACCAGTTCTTAGATGTGATGGCTGCATTCATTTTTTATGTAGGCTTTCTTTCGTCTCTTTTCATCTGGTGATCCAGTCAGCAAGTCCATTGTTTTTCCAAAGCACAAGCTCTCCAGCAGAATGTATCAATTTACATGAATGAGACAAACCACTTAACAAGGGCAGGAGTGCTTAAAATTATCAGCTTTAACTTATTCATGTAAAACCTTTATCCCAAAAGGAATAATCAGTTTGCTCTAACTGATTATAAAGCGTGAGCTGGCGTTTAACTTCAATTTGTTAGTGTATTTAAATACGCTAATACATTTTACACCCTCCCCCCATAGACTGACAATGCTGCTGTATGCTATACTTCATTCATCCAAAGTGGTGTTTAACTAACACAGGACGTGTGTTACTGGCCAGATCGCCAGGTAAAAACAGAGGGAAAAAAGCCTAAAAACGAAAACTGATGCAGCCACCACATCTAATGATTGGTAAGCTGCAATATAATACATTTTTTGGTTTTGGGTTTAATGCTGCTTTAAGGATACACACTTAAAGCTGAAATATTTTTGAGGCATACAGAATTAGTCTATAATACATGTAATTAAGCGTATACTATATTCAGCTGGCTGCTGGTTAATATCATAAACCTCCACTCAGTGGAATCAGGAACTCCCCACAGGAGTGACCTTCAGATGTTTAAGCGATGAGAGACTGAGGCTGCTACTGTGGAGAATCACATCACTCACCCTCCACTTGCTGTCTGCCTGGCCATTCACAAAACTCCTAGTATTATTTTCCCAGAATGCATAGCATTCTGTGAATGGAGGAGAGCTGCCCTGTCATTCATCCACCACTACTCCCTTCATAGAAGGTCTTGCATTGTGGAAAAATACTAATTCTGTGGTGAATCTCATACGCACAGCACTGAAAGATCACCACTGTAGGCAGAATCTGGCATCATTGAAGGGAGAATTATTTTACTAACCAGAGGCTAACAGGGCCTAGGATACACTTCATTACAGGTGTATTATTAGACTGGTGCTGTATGTCCAAAACAATTTTTTTTAACAGACATCAGCTTTAACATTTGGAGTTAGGATAAGGCTCCAAACCCAGAATTTATTTGTTATTTTGTGGACAACTGTCCAAAACCGAAGGCACCTGCAGTTTGTTTAAATTTTTTAACACCTTCATATTACATATTACAATAGGCCGGGAGGGGTCCCTATTATCCTGGGAGGATGTCATATGATGTCCTGCCAGGATCGGCTGCGCTCCGACACAAGCTCTCATCGGCTGTGTCCCCCGGACACAGCCAATGACTGATCACTGTATTGGCCCGCTGCTAGTACGATGTGATAGCTGTGATCAAACACAGCAGATCACACGACAGTTCCTTTCATTCCATTCATTGCTTATACAATTGTGTTGCTAGCTGTGATTGGTCACAGCGA